TTGATCAGTTTATCCTTAACTATTCACATTTTTGTTTCCACTGTGTCTAGGATCTTATATTTTGAAGTGGTTGTAATGTAATAAAGGGAAACACATTTTTTTGCCTTGGGAATTAACCATCTCACTATTATTACATGTTAGCTCACATGGTGTTTTAAACTGAATCTATTGGATTTTCCTGGTAAGCATTTATATTATTTCCAAATGGTAAAGATGACAATTTTTACCTACACTAATTGTTATATTACGTTTTTCTTTATGCTTTGCCTAAAATTTCTAAGGAAAAAAGCTGAATAACAGAGGTGATATATGACTTTCTTTCTATTGTTATTTTAGTTTTATTTTTTCTCATTTTAAAGAATCATTTCTGATCAGAATTATGCAAAAACACTTTATTATTGATCCAAGTTCCTGATTATGAACACAATTTGTTAAAATCTGTAGATTTTTTTGAGGACCGTAGAGCTCTTTGCTCCTGCACTAACCATCTCCAAATTCCTAAGTTTATAAGGTTTTTTTCCTACTTTGCTTTCAGAGCCTGTTTCTCTTTCATCCATCTAATGTCATCAGTCACAATCCTATTGTGATTTCTTTATGCTCCTTCTAAACCCTTTCAAATACTTTTCTAGTTAAAGAAGGCTCCCCCTTCATGTAGAATCAAGTGCAAGAACATTTGAAAGCTATTTACTGCTCAAATTAATTTTAAAAATAAACAATTTGCTTCTGTGCTTTTGGTGGATATGTTTCTCAGATGTGTAACCATCAGGAAAATGGAGAGATTCTTGTACCATTGGAGACAACTTGGAAGATCCACGTAGGGGATGGTTGAGAAACATTGCTTTAAAGTCAGGTCTGGTATCCAGACTCATCCTATAATATAATAACCTGTCTCTGCATCTGCTCCGCTAGAAGAAATAACTATTTATTCTGCTTGTTTTGCTTTCTATCATATACTTGGTAGTTTACTCAAAATGAACTTTCATTTATTATCTACCACTCAGAGTCTATGGAAAAGAGAAATTTAAAAAGAATGAATGGATGCATGAACCAATAAACGAAAGAAAGAGAGAGGGAGGGAGGAAGCGAAAGAGGGGTGAAAGGAAGGAGAAGGGAAGGGAAGAAAGGAAAGGAGGAAGGGAGGAAGGAAAGAGAGAGAGGAAAAAAAATCATATCATCATTTGTCACAACAAATAAAAAGGCCAATGACTCTACAGAATCACCCTGACAAAATTATCCTGAGCAATTTTGAATTCATAAAGAATTAAGTCAAGGCAGCCACACAAGGAGTTATTATATATATCTGTGCACACACACACAGCAGCAATTGGAAGTTAAAACTGTGCTCTTATGAGGGAGCTCTCTGGCTCCACAACCAACATAATTTATTAAAAATCTTCATATCAGCATCTCTGCTAACCTTCTTTCAATGGAAGTTTTTTAAAAAGCTTACAAAAGAGATCAATGCTGAATATGACGACTATTGCAACTTTGTACTTCTCTTTGAAATCTAACAAAATGGGTCTCTAAACAATGAATGTACAGTAGAAACAATACCAACAGATTTAAACAGCCATCTGGAGTAATTATTCATGCTCCCTAAAAATAGGCTGTTTGAGAACTTGCAAAGTTTCTTCGAGATATAATTCAGTGGTGTCTCTAACAACACATGAGCAGGCTTGTGGAGTGAGAGTAAAGATGCTTTCATTGCACGAGTCTAGTTGTTTAATTTCTTTTGTCATGTAAAAAAGCACCTGAAACTTAGATCTCAAAGTCAAGTTGTACATTCTCCTCTACCATTATCAAAGTCTTTCCACGTTCTTCCTTCCTTTGCTGTCACCACTGCTGATGCAGGTGCTTATTTCCTCAGAATCATGCCAAAATACAGAGATCCCTAATTCATCTCTGACCTCTACCACCTACCTCTTCAATTAATCTTCACACTTTATGCATCCATCCTTTACTTTTTCATTCACTCAGCAACTTACATTGCAACTCTAGAGTAATGCCTTCTCTTTTTACAATAACAATGCTCCTTCTTTTACAGTTGAGACAATTTAAACATCACAAAGTGACTTGGCCTGAGCCTTCCAGGGGAAAAAGATAAAATAAAACAAACGAAAACAAAAACCCTGATTTGTAGTACTTGCTGACTTCTGTGCTTTCCTCCTTGACCAGTTTCAAGCTACTAATATTTCACAATCAGCTCCCAAAATTCCTGAATAGTTAGCAATTAACTTTCATGACCTAGGATAAGTAGGCTCCAGTACCACTGGAACTGTTGGGGGATATTTTACTATAGTACAGAGATATGCCGTAGAGAGGATACAGTATGTGTATATGTAATATATATTATATGCCTTTAATAAATGTATTGAAATATTATACATTAAATGAATAGATTATATATAATTTATTTAATAAGGCTTATTAAATAAAACACCTCAGGCAACAGGGATACTTCTTGAAGCAAAAAATTGCAGCTCCTTAAACAAAAAGCAGTGGTGAGGATTCTTCCAAGCTATAAATGGAAACTGGTTTTATTTATTTGATATAAGACAGAAGCACAATTTTAAACATATAGGCTGTTTAGAATCAATAATATGGTTCTTTAAATTGATACACATTTCAGATATGAAAGCTGGATGGGAACTTAGTAATCAAATCTAACTCCTTCATTTTAGGGAAAGGCGTATGGAGTACCAGATAGATGAATGCCTTTGTCCGCAATCAAATGGCAAGTTTAGACTATAGTCAAGACTATAATTTCTAGATATCTGGGTTTTTCTCTGTTTACTATATTGACTGCTCAGGTGAATAGATTTAACCAAGTGATGCTAGAAAAATAACACTTACCTTAATACTGTTGTATGTTTTTATTCTTCATGATATATCTTCAAACCATATGTTTTCATTCACTCACCTATTCAACATCTATTCAACACATTTATTGTGTACCTACTATGTGTCAGACTAGAGTTGAGGAACAGAGCATATATTGGTAAACAAACAGACAAGTCCTTTTCATAATGGAGCTTACATTATAGATTAAAAAAAAAAAAGGACAACCACCAAGGAAACAAACACTTATGTTATAAATTTTCAGGAGGGCAAGAGTAGAGGGAAGGAGGTCAATAAGAATATTGTGATAACCCGGGGCTGAAATAATGGTGGCAACAGTGAAAATGGTAAAAAATGGTTAAATGCAGTCTACATTATGAAAGTGTAGCTAACAAGACATGGTGACATACTGTATAAAGATTTTGAAGCAAAGAAGAAATGTGAAGATGATGATCAGATTTTTGACCTAGGCAGCTGATTCAATGGTGATATCATTTACCGAGATGGAAAAGATGTCGTGTGGAGGGTTTTAATTGAGACTTCTCTTTTGGATATATTAATTTTGAGATAGTTCTTGGACATACGAATGATACATTGAGTGTGGAGCTCAGATATAACAGGATGCGATGAAATTTAATTTAAGTTGTTTTGGAAAGTCATGACACTCAATGAGGTCCTCTAGGGAATGAGGTGGGAGAGGAAAATGTCTGAAAACATGAGCTCCAAGCTACTGCAAAAGTGCTCACTGGAGTAACTTTAAGTAAACTGTGTCACATTGAAATGCAAGAACCAAAACAACCACCCACCCCACACACACACACACATACTATCTCACACTCACACATAAACACACACTCATATTTACACACCAACACATGCACACACAAAGAGGAAGGGGGAATGGAAGAAGAGAACCACTGTCAGTGTTGTCCATCTATTAGGCAGTTTAGAGACATCATCTTATTTAATTTTCATAAGAACAAGGTGTCTAGAAGAGATAGAAAACACAACAAAGAAGACTGAGGAAATTCAGCTGGTAAAGTGTGAGGAAAAGTAGCAGAAATTAAATGAATAGTGTTTTAGATAAGGGAGGGTCCAGTTCTTCCCAACAATGCAAACAGATTGAGTACGATGAGGACTGGAATTGACCGTTGGGTTAGCCATTTTGAGCTCACCAGTAACCTTCACCAAGGCAGTTTCAGTGGTATGATGGGGAGAAAGATCTGATAGGAATGAGTTCAAGAAAGAATGGTGAGTGAGGATGTAAGGACAGTGAGTACAGCCAAGTTTTCTTATAGTTTTCTCTAAGTGAACTAGAGGGGTTGGTAAGTAACTAGAGTGATGGGAGATTGAGGGAGCTATTACAGAACGTTTTCTAATGTACGACAGGGAATATTAGATATGATTCGGCAATGAAAACTTGATGCTGAAGGAGGGAAAGGGCTAATTACAAAAGTGAAATACCTGAGTAAGTAATTGCTTATAGGATTCAATGCATAAATCCAGATTGGCCTTCATAGGAAGGAGGGCAGTTAATCTATTGCAATAGGAAAAGATGTGGGAATAGTCAGGAAAGGAAGGATAAAGGTGTAGATATGGATAGATAGATACGTACGTTTGGGGATATGCAGATTAGAGAATTCCCCTCTGGTTTGTTAGTGGGAGATAGTGACTTTCAGAGTTCATGAGACTGTGAAGAATTTAGAAGTAGTTGAATCTGATCAGGAGCTGTACACCACCTTAGGGGAAAGAGTAAGTGATGAGAAATGACTAGGTGACTAAGAGATAAGCAAAGATTTAGGCTTGATAGAGTTAGTCCAGCACTCCACAGTACTAAGAGAAAGCAGATAATCACTTCTAATTATAGCTTCCTTCATGGGCAAGGTCTCTTAGGTGTTGTGGAATGATGGGGCCTCCAGTGTTGTGAGAAAGAGGGAGGTGCACTTTGGATAAGATTCAAAGGAGCTCTCTGCATCCACCATCCAATCTGCTTGAGGAGCAGAAAGAGCTCAGTGGGCCTCCTTTAAATTCAGCTGTGAGAAATAGCTAAGATAATTGCGAAAGATGGTTCAACCTGAAGCCTCTGGAGCTCAAAATTAAACTTACGAAATTTACCCCACATGAGTCATCTAATCTACAGAGAAAAAGTGAAAAAGACTCACCAACATCTAAAATAGGGATGTTGATTTCCTGTATTCTCTACTGTTGCAGCCACAGTCAGCATTGCTAATCAATCAAGTCTTTCTCCCTCTGAATCCTGTATCCCACAGCATTCCGATCAGCCTCCATCTAGCATCAGAGTCAGCATGAGAGAAGAAAACTCCCCTGAATATCACTTGACTTTCAGAAGACCTCTATTCTGCTGTCTAATATATGTATCAAACTCATTAAGCCCAAAAATGAACTCCTAATCTCCTCTCAACCCCAGCACCCCAACTTGCTTCCAAAGTCCTTCTAAATCTCAGCTAGTGACTCCTTATTTTTCCTTCTATACTAAACCCAATACCTTAACCTATCCTGTTGGCTCTAAATTTAAAATAGACTCATAATCGTCCCCCCTTTTACAGTCCCCACCAGAACTCCTGGGTCCAAGTCCTCATCATCACTAGCCTAGATTTTAAGGGGTCTTCCTATTTCTTCCCTGAAGCCCCTGTAGCCTGTTCTCATCACAGAAGCCAAAATGATCCTCTAAAGCAGGTTCAGATGAAATCTTGACACTTCTCTGCTTGCAATCCTCCAGTGGATTCCTATCTCATCACTTATATAAAAGCCAAATGCCTTGCAATGGCCTACCTGGCCTGCATGACCTGTGGCCCTACCCATTCTGAGATCAAGTACATTTCCCTCCTTTCCTCACCTCAATTCAGCTGTGCCGGCCTTTCCTGCTCTTTCCTCTACCAGGAGCATGCTTTCCCCCAGATAGCATGGGGGGCTAACCCTCTCCTTGCTGGCTCAGTTGCCCCTTCTCAGATTTCCATCCTGCCCTCCCTACTCACCCCTCGCATTTGTTAATCCTCTCAACCCCCTTTATGTTTTCCCTAGCAATTATCAACCACCTGACACTTTATATTTGGCATATTCTCTTGTTTATTGTCTGCCCCCTCACTCTTAAACTGTATAAATTCCATTCTAAGAAAACAGAGATTTTCAGTATTTGGTCCCCAGCACCTAAAGGAGCCCTTGGCTCATAGAAGGTTCTCAGAGAATAAAGGAAAAAATTAATGAATTTGCAAACTCTAATCTAAGCAATATCCTTACCTGAGCACAGTTACCTTCGAAAATGCAGTGTGCTTGTGGAGTTCTGTTTGATTTAGTTTGCAATCATCTGGGTGAAAGAGTTTCCTTTTGGAAGCAACCCTATTAGCCATCAGCTCCCTTGAGGATGCTTTTATCGGCTCTGGAAGCAAGTTTTGCCATTCCTCAGCTGTTTGCGGGAGGACTGAGCCGACCTCTCTATGCGCAGCATTGGAACCCCCTCCTGCCTCCTCCTGAGAGATTTGCAGTTCCAGGAGCATCTCTCGTGGGCTGCAAAGTGCCCTGTCAGTGGGCTGTGCCATCTGTAGCAGGAAAGGTTACATTTAGTCACTTGTTATTCCAATATGCATCCACTTTATCTACTTTCCTTCCTCACTGTCTTCTCCCTGTGACCTGAGTTAATCCTCTCGTTATCTGCCTCCCACTTGGATCAAATCCCTCTTCAACTTTAGTTCCTATTCTGGCCCTGCTTTTGCCAGCCTCCCCAGGGACCTTGCAAGAGCTAGTGTTTAAAGACCACTCTTTCAGGCCCGGGCCCAACTGTCAGACAAAGAACAAAGAAAAGTGAACCACTTTCCAAGGAAACAGCACTGCTGAGAATCCCTCTTCGAAGAATGCCACCTCTTGTCTGCAGAAATCTAAGCTTAAGTATTCAATAAGGGAAGGAAGCAGGCAAGAACTAATATTTGTGGAAATCTGCTTTGTGCCAGGAACAGGGACTCGTGTATTTTTCGTAGTTTTATGTCAAATAATGTTTACATGCAGTCCACAAATTAAGTAACAATCATCTTCACGTAAAACGTCACATTTTTAAAAGGAAATAAGAGCTTGGTACTGCCCTGCTTAAAACACTTAGGTGACTTCCCATGAAGCACAGACTAGAATCTTAAGTCCTAACCACGGCCAACTGGGGCTTGCATACCTGCCTGACCTCACAGCCCACTCCTCTCACCAATCCGCAGCCCACTACTACGTAGAGATGGGCTTTGTTTTTGCAAAAACTCTAATGTCTATGCATTTTCAACTTTTTCTGCAGCCTGCTGTCCATCCTCACGCTGTGTAATCACAGGATTCACAGTCTCTTTTCATTCAAGCTTCTTTCAACTGTCATCTTTCCACAAGGATCTTAGCTGACCACTCTAAAGGATTGCCTCCAAGCCTGAAAAGAAGAAAAGGAATAATCTATGGTTTATTGACATTGTGTTCCAACACAAGATAAAATAATAGTATTTGAATTTCAAGTCTTTATGGCCACCTTGTTTTTAAGTCACATCTCCTCACTCATTCCCTTCCTTGCTTTATTTTTAAACATTATATTTTCAATGTATATTTTCATTATTTGTATACCCCGTGATAATATCTGTTCCCTGAGGGTAGGGCCTAACTTGTTTACTGCTAGGTCTCTGGGGTCTAGAAATACGCTGGTATAGGATTGACACCAGATAAATATGGTCGAAGGAATGAACTGAGCAAGTGGAAGCTCAGAAAATGTAAATAATATGTTCAAGCCGCTGAATGGCTTAGACAAAATTGGAAGCAAATTTGCGATTCCAAAGCCTTGACTTCTTCTCTTGCTTCAAACTGAACTCCCTTTCTTGTCATGTAGTCATTGAAATTGTGAAGGTATTGGGAGACTGACAGGGCTAGTCGACACTGAACGTTTGACTTGACCATTGGCAAAGCAAACGAAGGCAGCCCTGGCCTAAGACCAGGAGCGGTCCTCACTCTGCAGGGGAGGGGCTTGCTCGCAGGAGTCCCAGGGAGCCATGTCCATCACTGCCTCTTCCACCTCCCAGTTCTTCGGACTTTGGGTGATTTTGTGGAGCTTCAGATTCCTCAGCCACACAATGAAATTAAGAGTAGTCTATAAAATGATCATAATATACATCCAGGCTCTGAGATCCAGACAGCCTGAAATCAGGTTCTGATATTCTGATACCAACTCTGATCCGGGCCAAGTTGTTTGAACTTCCTAACTTGGTAACTCAACTTGCTGACTCCCAATATAAATTAGAGATAAAAATAGTATCTTCGTTATAAGGTAACTATGAGTTTATCCATAAAAATTTCTTAACACAGCACTCAATATATGCAAGTCGTTGCTTGCTACTACTAATTTTATTGTCTCTCCTCCTCCTTCTCCTTCTTCTTCGTATTATTATTATTATTATTAAAGAGTCATGGTAATTGTTTCAGTAGTGGAGATAAAATTGTGGCCCTTTCTTACCAAAATGTCTATGTTTCTTGAAGACAAAGGTTACACTGTATGCGTAAATTTTGTCTAATATTCTACTAGGAGGATTTGTAAGCAATATGCTTACAAACATTTTGTGTTAATTAATAGAAAGCAAATAATAAAATCAATGTACCTTTTTAACATGGTTTAATACCAGCTGTTGTCAATGTATATACTAGGGAATTTTAGTTGTGAAGCTCTGAGATTTTTGATGTTCAAAAACAACTAATGAATGACACTGATTTTTAAGTTTAGAATCACTTGTTTCTTCATTCTTTTATTGATCTCCACAAACTCTGCCTGGCAAGCTGGTGGGTAGTCATCATTTTCTATTTGGTCTTCACAGAAGTCTTTATGTGCCTTATGTATGGCTTCTACAATGATCTTTCTCATTTCATAATGCTTGGTGTATTATGAAATACATATGTCATTCATACAAATGTATGAAATGCATATGAAACAAACACATCTTTTATTTATCTGCTGTATTTAGTCAATTGATATCTACATTCGATAAGACATTTTCTGAGCACTTCTTAAGTGCCTGGTGAGGGGTCTAGAGATGAATTAGCACAGACTTGGAAGTAAGAAGATTTAGATTCTGCTGGAGAGGTCCATAAACAACGCAACCCAAGATTTCATAGGCTGCCCCTGCCTGTAGGTGCAGCTGGATCAATATAATAGTAAGAGCAGAAAGATCTCCCTAACTCAAGCCCCAGATTCAGACTCACAGGAAAGGCAGCCCCAGAGATTCTTAGTCCAGATAAGTCAGGATTATAGGTGCTGTGCACTTGGGCAAGGTGTTTTTGCAAAAGCCTGAGCAAGGCATGGATTGGGGCACCTCACAAAAATCCTTGTAGTTCATGAAAAAGAAGGATATTTCCCGGGAGCAGCATCTCAGTAAAGTGCAAGGCTGCTATGTGGAAATGAGTTCATCAAATCAAATGGAGATAGGACTATCAGGATAAGGAGGAATTCCAAGCACAATGATTTCTATGATAGGGGAAAGGTAGAGGCAGAGATGTTCTTCAAGGAAAATGACATCAATTGTTAAATCTACTTCAGTGCTACCTAATAACTAGGTTTCTTCCACACATTCCTCCAGCATGTCTTCACCTAGATGACAACATATCCTTATGGACTTAGAGCTTGTAAACATTCCCTTACCAGAAATAATTAGGTTTGTCAGGTTTCTTGGGATGATTGTGCAAGCTCTGAGTTTAAATAGAATGTGGCACAGCACACATTCAGTTGCTTTTCCAAATCTTTAAGGAGGATTCTTGCACATAGAGTCCACTAGCACTATGTCTTCAATATGCTTGCCTTAAAATTTCAGAATTTATTAGTACGCACATATGTGTGGTATATCTTTCCACTAGTCAGTGACTCATCTGAAATATCTCAACAGTTAAATGAGATGGAGATTGAGGGCAGCTATTGAAACAGGATCAAGGAGAATAATGAGGAATGGAGCCTTTTAAGGCTTATATAATTCAGCAGGCAACAGCAAATGGCCAGGGCAGCTTTTTGCCCTCATTCTACTGAGAATGCTGGTGTGTACATGTTGGAAACATCGAAGGGATTTCAATAAGCAGATCTCTCTTTTCTGTTGTTGGTGATTGCCCATGGCTGCCCTCTGCCATTGCTTCATGGCATCTGCCTTGAAAATCATCATTTGGTTTTCCCAACAGCCTTGGGAGATTGTTGAAGTTCTAAGAGTTTAAAAAAATTGCTCAAATTTTCGGAAGATACTTAGTCGCCAGATCTGGATTCAAAGTCCAGGCTCTTCTCACTACCAGCTATGAGATTTGGTAGCATGTATTTGCTAACCTATTAGGCAACCTTTATGAGAGTCCCAGTGACACCTGCCTCCTGATAATGACACATTGTGTAATTTCCTCCACTTGAGTGTGGCCTGGACTTAGTGACTTATTTCTCATCGAATAAAGTGTGGCATCAGTGATTGATTCCCACTTCAAAGATTAGATTGTAAAAGATGATGGCTTTTATGTTTGATGTTCTCCCTTAGATCCCTTGCTTTGTGGAAGCCAACTGCCCTGTCATGAGCGAGCTCTGTAGAGAGGCCCACATGAGTGAACTCAGAAGATCTTCTGTGACCTTCTACTAGCTGAGTGAACTGGAGGGGTCTTCCAAGGCCTGCCAACAGCCACAGAAACAGAATCTCTTCCAGACAAGACTTGAGATGGTGGAAGCCAAGGCTGATATCTTGATTTCAGACACATGAGATCCTGAGCCAGAACCACACAGCTAAGCCACTCTCAAATTCCTGATCCATAGAAACCTTGAAATAATGAATATTTGTTGTTCTCAGTGCCTGAATTTGGGGGTAATTTGTAACAGAGCAATAGATAGCTAATACAATATTTAATATCACCCTAGGAACCAAACTAATTGTTTTTGGTAGCATTGCAATGGAATTAATAATGTATCATTTTCCAAGAACTTTATCATTATAATATATAAAAAATCCCTCTGAAGAAAGCACATGCCACCAGTTTACAGACAAAACGAGTTAACATATTATAAAACACAGCAATAGATGGTGTGATTTACATGACTCATAACATGTTTTAGCACTGACTTTTTAATTTCCAAATAAAGATTGTTTACCTACTCTGAGGGTTAATTTTATGGATCAACCTGACCAGGCTAAGAGATGCCCAGAGAGCCAGTAAAACATTATTTCTAGATGTCTCTGTCAAGGTTTTTCAGAAAGACATTAGCATTTGAGTTGGTAGACTGAGTAAAGATTGATGCCCTCACCAGGGTGAGTGCCATCACTCAATCCACTGAGGGCTCAAATAGAAGAAAAAGGTGGAGGAAGTATGAGTTCACTATCTCTGCTTAAGCTGGGACATCTATCTCCTCCTGCCCGCAGACATCAGCTCTTCTGGTTCTTGAGCCTTTGGACTCAGATGGAATTACAGTTCAAGTTTTCCTGGGTCTGCAGCTTGCAGATAGCAGATTACGGGACTTCTCAGCCTCCATAATCACATGAGCCAA